TTTTTCTTGTGAATGTAGCATTTGGCATTTAAATGATTTTCACCTTTTTTTCCCTGCTTTAAGTTTGTTCAAGAGATGCTGTTTTTTACTAAATCTAATCTATTAATAAGCTTATCCGATTTTAGATTGAACATTACAAGCTGGATAACATGCACACTGGCATTTTTTTAGTCAAGTATGCTTACATACAAAAGGAAAGCGGTATACCATAGGATGGTTAAGTTCCTTGGCATTTTCATTGCCAGGTATCCTTAGAAATGTAAATGGAACACACTAGACCATAGCGTTCATAGCGTTCACCAGCAATCGGATAGGAAGGTTTCATCGCAAGGCCACAGAGACCTCCTGAGACTCCAGCATCCCTCTGAATCCTCATGTAGCCATTCTCTCCCCAACTTTCTCCCCATGAATTCCTGATCAACCAGTACTTGGTACCATCTTCGGTAGTCCCATACCCGACAAGTGTAACAGCATGGTCTATGTTATTGCCACATCCCCCAGTGAAAACACCACTCGCATAGTTCTTGAAATAATACCCGCTGGCTTCTAGGGCAGTAGAGACAGGCTGCTGGCTTACAGCCTTTAATAATGCCTCTTCATCATTGGGAGGTACTTCTTCGAAACCACTGATACTGACAGCTGCTGTGGCAGTCTCCGCTTGACAGGTTCCATCCATTGCCTCATAAGGATAACTCTCCTCACTAGCTATTCCTTGGTTATCCCTGATGTACGCAAAAGCAGTAGTCATCCAACCACATTGGCAGCCGTGGTTGTCTTCAACACAGTCAACCAGCTGTTGCTCGGACAAAGAAGGCAGTTGACCACTCTTTATCTTTGTGATCCCTTCTACAGCTGCCACGGCTGAAAATGCCCAGTCGCATCCTACACCAGTTATAGAATTCTGGTTTGTAAATGTTGATGTAAAAAGAAAGCTACAGAATTCATTATTCAGTTTAGATTCTTACCACATTGACCCTGTTCCTTAATGCTGTTAACAGCTCCTGCCTTAGTCCAGTCCATGCTCGATGGAATGGCCAGGATGCTTTCATGCCTAAATACAGTTTTAGATGAGTCTGAGTTGGGGGGGATTTTGTATCCGGTGTATAAGGCCTTGAATTCCTCATTGGTTAAGTCCGAAAACTTATTGAGACTGAGCTTGAAGGTACGATTTCCTTCACTGTTGAATTTCTCAATGAACTCCAAGTTCTCCTTGAAAATCTTCAACCGTAGCTCCTTCTCTTCACTGTCTGGATAAATGCGGCCGTACTGAGCCATCCAGTACTGGTGTCTCTCAGTAATGTCAGCTTCAGGCAATGTGCGGGAGGTTGTTAGCAATGCCCAACACCCCAGAATCCTTAACATGGCAATGAGGAAGTTTGTTTTGAGTATCGGACCCATTATTAGCAGACTAATTAAATGCCACTCTCAGCTAACAATGTGTTACAGAAGCTGCAAGCTAGTTGTGAAGAAATCTGTATTGATCTCTGGTATTTATAGAAGAAGGTGCTTTATCTTTTTTTTTTTTTTTTCGAAAAATCACAACTAAAACGTAAATTTGGGGTTGGAAACGGGAGGGGACCCAATTCCCACTGTTTCCGGCAAAATTATGCCCCCAAATAGTTGTTTTTGTGATGTAATTTTGTAAGCTTAATTTTATTTCCATCCCACAGAGTGACTTGAAAGCAGGTCATGGTCTTCCGTGTGACTGGAAATTCTTCTTCTTTTTCAGGATTTTTTTATGCGCATGTCACGGTTCCCTACACACGTAGCTTTGCTTTCCTATATTTTTCTCCGTAAATAAATTCTCTGGACATGACAAGATCAATGGTTCCCAGTTGTTTTTCTCGAATTCTAGCTTGTAAGACAATCCAGGGAAGAAAAAAACGATATGACAGGTCTAAAGCAACTTGGAAGAAGGTTGACTTTGAGAAATGAAGAAAATGAAAGAAAGTAGGGGCATGTTGGACTTGGACATACGCAGATTGGTCCTTCCAGTTCTGTGTCTTCTTGGGCTCTTTTTTAGTCCTTGGTATTATCCTTGACTTTTGGGCTTTATTAGAACGGAAAGCGGTTGAGGCCTGGCTGTAGCCTGTTGTTGACTGGAAAAACAGACAGGTCTCTCTCTCTCTAACATCTGAATGAGGTAATCTGATGTATAGATTATATCATAAAGTCTTTTCCATCCTTAAATCCTTCATCACCGGTCTCAAATTCAAATTTAAAAACGCTAATTTAAAGTATAAAATTATTACTAATTGAGATACTTTTGGGTTAGATTTTAATTTTGGCAAAATGATTTCATTCACCAACTAGATATCTTTATTAATCTAGCACCTGGACAAAAATAAGGTTCCTTTGCGAATTTGGCTCTTTGGGTCAAGTGGCTCTAACCACGTTTGTAAGGTTCATATTCTTCTCTCCAGAACAACGATTCGATCCGACCTTATGACAAAAATTGTTCAAAAAAAGAAAGATTCTTTTGCACTATGTGTCACTCGCAATAAATACATAAGACATGGAAGGTTCACGAATTGATCTCACTAAGTCTATCAATTTTGCGAAACGGACAAAGATATTGATGCCATCAAATTTAAAATCATGAGAACCTTGGAATCTAACTAAAAATTTTCAAATCCTATGCCCCTTGTCATATGCTAGGAATTCAACTCTCAATTATTCTGTAGGTTAGATTCTTGTGATTATATATCTTTTATTCAGAATTTATCCTTTTTGCTCACATAATTCTTGGTATAAGTTCGAGAGATGCTTTGTGCTGTAAAATTTTTTTTAAAAGAAAATGTATAAATAAGAATGTGAACTTTACATTTTTTTTT